TCTACTGTAGATGTGTGAGATCGTCATAAGTTGTAAACATATTAGAATTGAGTATTAGCCTGCTTGGTGGAAATATGTAAATGAGCTGATTGTGATGTCTGTTTTTGGTATTTTAGACATGTAGTTTACGTAGGGGTTTGGATCCATTTGCTGTGACTATTTAAACCAGTATGTTCAGATTTTGTGTAAACATATATCTGAGATTAAAGTGTAATAAAGAAAAACCACATTTATAATCCATCAGCTGAGAGGAGCTCGAGGGGCCGAACTGGAACTTCTGGAAAGTTTTTCAGGATTTGCTTCATGAGGCCTTTCCTAAACTAGAGAGCAGAGAACCAAGTCTCTAGTCTAGTCTTAGATATATCTAGCTAGCTTCAGAATAGTTATGCTGACGTGGCCAGACTCAGTAAACATTTGAGTGTTTGTTTTTCTCTAATATGCTCTTTTTGTGTAATATATATAGGATGGAGAAACCATAAGAAATTAATTGTATCTTAAGTGTCAGTACATGAGATGTTTCTTTTTATCTAGTTAATGATTACCTAATCTTTTGCTGATTCCTTTTACTCCCCTTCCTTTATCTACCTTTGCACTATTTTATGTCTGTTATACTCCGAGGCGTTCGCAGAGTGAAACCTAATCTTGTCTGCTTACCATATGTTACTGTCCCTGAATTCTTATAAACTTACTTAGAAGTCTTCCCAAAGATGCCTTATTTTATACAACTGAAATTAGTAATAAAATATCTTTGGAACTTACTAAAAGATGTTTTGACATTATATATTTCAGTTCTTACTGAGAAACTTTACACTAGGTTAATAGAAACCAAATAACTGATTCACCTGCTCCCTCTTGTGGTAAATACTTAGTTTTATCCATAATGCTTTTATTTGCAGTTATTAACTCTTGATAACACTTACTATTAGTGAGAACAGAGATTTGGATAGTCCAAAGAGATTTTAAAAATTAGGGATGTGGCTAGTGTGCTCAACCTGGGCTGTATTTAAGGTTATCTGCAGGGCCTGGGCCATACCCTAGGAGATTCCCTCTGCCTGCCTGGGTTGGGAACCAAGCATTTACAGCTTAAATTTAATCTACTTTTAAATATAATTTAAAAATTCCCAGGTATGCAGTCAGAGTTGAGAACTACTTAGAGGTTATGGTTTTGCTTATATAGCTAATCAGTTCTGTATACAAAGAGGGCACGTTATGATTTTTAATAATTTGTACCCATTTTGTACTTTATAGTGGGTGAAGCACTTTTACATAATTTACTTGATTTTCCCAGGAACCCATTTTATGCAATAGGAAAGACTTCAAAGGGTAAGTGACTGGTCTGAGATTATGCAGCTGTTAGGAGGAGGAACCAGGATTGGAAACTAGGACATCTAACCTTAAATCCACTCTCTTTCCTACTGCTCCATAGAATTTAGATCTGAGTCCTCAATTGAAATGATGGATCTTAAATTAGTTTATCTTGAGAGCTCTTCTAGTTTATGTATCATGAAGTGGTTTTTTTTTTTTTTTTTTTGCCTGTGACTGTGTTCTGTAAATTAGCTTTACACAAAATACTGAAGGCACTGAAAACTTGATTAAAACGTGTGAAGCTCTCCTGATTTCCCTGGATTGCCTCAGGCCAGCTCTACCCTGCATACCACACTCAAAAAGCCTTTCAGGGTGCCTCAGAGAACAAAGCTGGAGTTTTGGGTGTCACATAGGGTCAACATTGATGTAAAGAAGAGATCTATATATTGAATAGACACCTAAACCTAATAATTATTGACCTTTATATAACATATGGTTTGATTATTGACTGATATAAATGAGCTAGATTAGATCCAACTACTACAAAGGAATAATAGTCTCTAGATTTTATTATATTGGAATTTTGTTATATTTGTTATTGCTCTTAATAAATAGGCCTTTGCCAGCCTTAAAAATCACATCTAATATTACATAGGATACCTAGGTTTTTCTAGTAACTGTTTGTCTTAATAAACTTTGACTTCTGTGTATATTTCTATTTTTCCTTTATTAAAGATAATGGTAAACTGTTAGTACTTTTATTTTTTTATATGTATTACAAAAATGATGCCTTTCTCATTTTATAGAAAAACCTTCACATTGGCAAATACAAATTAGCATTGGAAACTATTGAATACAAAATTAAATTTATGCTTTATCTGTTAGATATGGTGTTAGAAAGTGTTGACAAAGTTTCTTTCGGATACTGTTTCATTTTTTTCCATTGACCTTTCCATTGTACCTTTCTGCCAGAATTACTTTCTGTTGTTTATTTTATTAATTTGAAAATCTTATACTCATGTTTTTCTCATCTCTTTGACTAGCCCAGTGATTTTTGTTGGAAAAAGTTATAGGTATAGTCAAGACACTTTAGACAAAAGGGTGTAATGATGGAAATGTGTCTGTCCTTCTCACCCTAGATCTCTTAATCCCTTTCCTTAGAAGCAGCTATGTATGCTTTTTTAGTTTTGTTTTATTTTTCTGTTCTATTTAATATAGATGTCAAATATGAGTTGTAATAAACAGTATCATGCTACATTTTTATCATACACTTGATGTGTTCTAGTTGCATATCACATTCTAAATAAATGAGATATTGGTGACATTGCTATTTAAGTTCACCTTTTAATAATGCATTCTTTTAGATTTATTTTCATTATGTTAATTATTATTCAGTTTATTAGTGATAAAGGTGTGTCTCTGTTATTTACATTAATTTCATTCACTAAAAAATCATAAATGGTGTTTTTGCACTAGAAGTTAATAGTCTATTCTGCATGTCTGTTTATGATATTGTCAAATCCTTTATATGTTAATGAAATTGTTTTCATTTTATGTCAAGGTAATGTGAAAAATAAGTTATATGAAAAACATTCTAAAGAAATTTTCTTAATAGACTTTAACCTTATTTCTGAAAGTTGCCACTTTGGTTTTAGACAATAAGCAGAAAGCAAGGAAAGGAAAAAGAGACCAGTGGTGTCTTTAAGTGATGAACACCTGTGTAGTCCCTTTGATCTAGAACTCTGAAGGTCAAACTCCCTCTGTTAAGAAAGCAGTTTGAGAGACTGAATAGAAACCTTGATTCCAGATTATTTACTTGACACTCTATTATAGTGCTTATGCATTTGGTCTTAACAGGAAACTTCAAATTACAGCAATATTGATGTTTTTCATTGATCTCTTACCCATGTAGCCCTAGTTTTGTTTTGTTTTCATAAAAATAGTTGATTAGTATAGCTAGATGATGAAAATATAGAAGTCTCTGTTTTACATTAAATGGATCTCCTTTAAAAGGGTAAAATGAATTCATTTCATAGAACAGTATTTTCCTTATGTACATAATGTTAAATTAACTGGTTTAATTTGAATTTTTTAAATGAGGAAAACTTTATTCAGTGTTTCCTAACATTCTTTGTTTCCTTATGGAAATTCAAGTTATCGAAATATTCAGATTCCGTATAAATTAAAGAGACGTCACTGTGTGTTCTGTAAGTTTATTTTTAGCCACTTTATTTTTGAAAACAGTAAATTTTTGTTTGACTCAGTTTATGATAAAATAAGGAGTTGTGAGAGATCTTAAATGCTATCAGGTGGATGTTCTAGTTTTCAGATGAATAGCAACAGTTCCATCGTAAGGAGACAACAAATCAAAACATTAAGATTGCATCAATCAGAATAACTTACTTTAAAAAAGTATAAAAACATTGCAAAGGGAGTTAATTCTATCTGTTGTATTTTGACAGATCAGTACCTTTTTATTTACCCTTCTTATCTGAATACATTTTTCAAGTAGAACCAGTTTTTTTTTTTTAATAATACTAATCAAATGCAATATGATAGAAATGTAGTAGGTTAAAGCATCATCTGATTTTGGCTTGAAGATAGTCTCCAAACATTTTGGTTTAATTTTTATAGTTTAGGTAGTTCTAGATCACTTTTTTTTAATGTGCCCTCTGAACATTCAAACGTGGTAATTGATGACTGTCTTTTGTTATTTAAAACATTTTAGAGGTCAGTAGAACTCCACCGTATTATTGTATTTTTAATGACATTCAGTAGGGGGCATATCGAGTTAATTAGTTCTTAAGATACAAGATACAGAAAATAAGTATGTATCAGAGACAGAAAATAAACATACACATACTTTTTCCTAGGAGACCAATTTCAAAATAATATAACAAAAATGTAGTGTGGAAAACCCTGTTTGGCTCAGTTTTGGAAGTTCAAAAGCAATTAGCCTAACTAGATGAGATGGTGTGTTACTTTCGTGTGCATCATGGGGCAGGCAATAATGCACAGTAGCTTTAGGAAAGGTGAATCCTGTTTGGTCATATTCTCAGCGAGTATACCAAGGTACCATCTGTTGACCATCTCCCGGGCTTGCTCTCTCCTTTTCTTTGTTCTTACGATGTCACTTATCCATGGCTATGGGTAAAAGAAATACTAAGTGAAGTGTGAAGTATGCTAAAACAGGAGAGTAAGATCAGCTCTGCAATGAAGTGTCTTGATGGCCACATTCTGCTAGAGTTTGGGAGCTCCAAAAGGCATGGAATGTGGTCTTGGCCCTCCAAGAATTTAGCATATAGTGGGGTGGTGTGAGATATTTATATAGTATCTATCTCAGCCCATGGTTTCAGGCATTTTAGAATTATAAAATTTTTAGAAATGATAAATGAAAATGTAATGGTAAAGAATTTAAACTTTATGTAAAAATATTATTTCTTTGTCAGTATTGTCCTGATGGATAAGCTACTCCCTTGAGAGAACTCTATAACAGCCTTTCATTTTTCTTTTCTTTTTTAAATTAAAACCATGCAAATAGTGAAATTTCCATTCAGCTTTTTAAATCTGGCTAGCAGATGTGCACATCTTTAAGCCTTTAAATGCTCCTGTGATAGATAAATGAGCAGATATTAAAAGAGCTCTGTAAAGACATATTTATATATATTATAAACATGCTGCTGCTACAATTGCAGGTCCTTTTGGAATAAATCATGGGATTGAGCTTCATTCAGATGTGGTGGAATATGCCAAGGAAAAACTGGAGAGCTTCATCAAAAATAGTGATAGCTTTGATAAGTAAGTATTCATATCTATAGTTTTGGTTTGAAAGCAGTTGATAAGTAGATATATATGACATGTCTATTCCTCAGTGCTAGTAGTTTATTGATCCTGAATTGCTCAGTTGAATGTAGCAAAAATCAGTGTGATATAAAATGATGGAAGAAATTAAGTTAGAAAAATTATTTGATGCTATAATTTTTGTTCTATGTAAGTCTCTAGTAAATTACAAATAACTTAAAATTCTGTATTACTGTCACTTTATTAGTGATAGTAGGGTAATGTTTCATTCATTAAATATCATACAAGTACCTTTTCTAAAAATAGAATGTAAAGATGCTTGGCTTGAGAGAATTCTGTTCTGGAACTGTTTTTATACCTTTGGAGTGATAATTTAATAGATCTGCCCTCTTTATAAAATGAAGGTGATACCTATTAGCATACAAACGACTTTCTTTAAATCATTCAATTACCTTATCATAGAAATACCATGATCTATTTTGTGATAGGGTTGTGTTTGAGCAATTTCTTTAGAAAATCATTGTTTGGAACTCTTTATTTTGACTTAGAAGAAATACTGCACAGACTTTTGGTCCTTAGCCTGGCAGGGGAGTCTTCTTGGTGTATAATGTTCCTAAAATTCAGCAATGACAGTACTATGGGGCAAGGATGTCTTATGCTAAAATTCATGAACTCTTGTGAGTTTATGTAAAATTTGAAGGCATTTATATCTCCCAACTAGTCCTATTTTTAAAGAAAGAAAGTTTTAAAATCTTAGAAACACTAGCTTAGAACTCAGTCACCTTATATATATATAAGCAAAGTTTTATTACAAAACCAGAGTTCCAACTTGGCTTGTTGGGAGTGAGTCTTCCTCACTCATCTCTAGACCCTGGCCATGACCATGGAGGTGAGAAACTGGGGGGTCTGAATCAGAGCTGAGGGCTTCTTCCCAGAGAGTCTTAGGCTTGAGACAGTGCCATGAAGGAAGCAGAGAAGGCCCTGTGGATGTCTGCTGGAGAATATTTTTCTTTTACCTCCCCTTCTCTGCCCTTTCTTTCCCTCCCCTTGCTCTTTACTTTTACTCCCTTTGCCTTTGCCAGCGTGTGTCTATCCTCTGGCGAGTGGCACTTGATTGAAGAACAGAAAACTGCTGCAAAATCCTCGGTGTTATAGAGAGGGAAGGGGAAGTCTTGTGTATAGGTGTGATTGTAATTGGGTTATTAAAGACCTCAGGCAGGCAGACTTAAGAGAATTGGAAAATGCTCAGGTTTATTTTGTTCTATAATTAATTCAGTGTATTTGAGCAAGCTGTTTGAATTTCCTGCATCAACTTGCTGAACACTATATCCTTTATCTTATTTATGCTTGTCTTTATAAATAATTAAAATTTAATTCACATTTGAATCATTTTTCAAGTGCTTACCGTGTTGGTTCATATTCTATTTCCAAGAATAACATGTTGTTTGACAGAAATGAAATAGTTTCTAGCCTAAGTTATTTTATAAGAAGTTGGGATTCAATTTTAGCATCCTTTTGTGTCTTGTGTTTCTGTCTGTCTGATGATTTGTAGCATGTTAAATGCTTAAGATATGGAATGAATATTTTTATATTGCTTATTAGAGCTGTAGAATTTTGTTGAATTTATTGAATTCCTATTGTATGTGTTTTGATGTTGAAACAGTGTATGCATAAGGACTTTCTGAATACATTTGGACTTAGAAAATATAAAAGTACTATTAGTAAAAGCCAATGTTTAAGGTCTATCATAAGGTCTATTATATGTTAGATAGTAATACATTTCAGACAGAACACACTCAAGGATGAACCTTGAATCACTGAAGCACCTCTATACAAGTATCTGTGGAGCTCAAATTTATTGCTGACAAGTGGGCATGGTCCTGGGAAACAGTAAAATATGTCATTATTCAAAGCATTTCTATGTTGATGTAATTTAAATATTAAATAATTCATAACAGATAAGTTGGAAGACTGTATATATTGTCTCAATTTAAAAAAAATTCCAAAATTGTTTCCATATAATTGTAAAATGATTAGATTTCCTTGTATTTCTTGAGTTCTGTTGTTCTGTTACACAGATTTTGTTATTCATAAAATGATGAATCATAAAATATGGTGACACGACTGATCTAAATGTTTCTTTATAATCTTCAGTGGTCTTGTTATTTTAGTTAAAATAATCAGTCAGACTTTGTAATATAGTTGTTTCTGAAGTGTTGAACTTAATTTTTAAAACAGATTCAGACATTAATAAACTAGTCTGAAAAAATTAGTTCTGGAAATGTTATCTATTCTGGTTTTCAGTAGTGTTCTAAAGTATTAGTTAAATTTTTCAGATTATAAAAGTATCTTGCATACAAAAAATAGTAAGTACTGGGAAAATGTTTCATTTTGCATAAGTAGTGAATGGTTGGAAGCTTAGTAAAGTCGATGTGGAACTCATTGGGCTCCTTTTTTGGTCTTTATAGTATTGGTTTATATTATTGGTTTATATTATTGGTTTTGGTGATAGAAATTCTAAAGGTATGATAGTTTTCTTTCTGTCTTGTGTTTTGATGATTTCTTTGCCATTTTTCTTGATGTTCGTGGATGATATTTTATTTATGGTCGATTTTTTGAATTTGAAAGACTTGTGGAGCAAAGTGATTTTAAAAATCCCATTTCCAAGCAGTTTCATTATATCTAATTGTATACAGGCTATCAAAATACATATATTAATTAACCAAATATAAAGTAACTCTGTTAAATTGATTGCTATTTTGGTATTCCTTAGTACCAGATCATCCTTGATTATGTGTAACAGAATAGATAGCTAAAACCTAAACTCTTCCAATCTTACTTATCCTGTTGTGTGGATCTTTTTTAGTCAGTTCTTTTTTCAGAAGTGTGTTGTGTCACTTATGATTTAAGTTGCATCTTATATATCTATTGGAGGTCATAATGAACTCTAAATATAGTAGGTGGGAAAGAATCTATAAACTCCTCAACCTTAAGATATATATTTAAGGTAAGGTGACCTTTTAAAAAATAAAATATTTGTTTTTGTGTGTGCTTTATAAAGCAAGCTTGGTTCCTCTGTCTTGAAAGTAGTAGTTCTTCTTTTAGAAGAAAGAATCTTTATTATATTGTATGTACTTTACTTTTCTTTCCATGTATCCATGTTTCCATGTACTCCTGTTATCAGCAAATGAAATAATTTGGAGAGGCTACTCTAAATTTACTGTATTTGGAGATGGGCAGGAAGGGGCAGCTCTCTTGTATGGTTTATCCCTTTGGCTCTACCTGTGGTATTTCCAGGTTCGCTGAAATGCCCTTATAAAACTGACATTTAATTTCAAAGGTCGTTCTAAACACTGGCAAAACTTTTGCAGTAAAGGACCAAATAGTAACTATTTTGGGCTTCCTGGGCTAAATGGTCCCTGTGGCAACTGCTCAGCTGTGCCATTGTAATGCAGAGGCAGCCTTAGCTACCAAGAAAGGGAATGGGCATGGGGTGTTCTAGTAACACTTTATTTACAGAAACATACAGCAGGCTGGATTTGGCCTGTTTGCTGCCCCCTGTTCTGCTCTTCACACGAACTCTTTAGAATACATTTATTTTAGCCCACTCTGATCTAGACAAGTTTTCGGGCCTGGGTTTTAAAGGTCCTTAGGTATCATCTGGCTTTCATGAGGGCAGAAGTTTGGAGAAGGTCAAATTATAATCGATATTTGTGCTTGAACAGTAAACAAAATAATCTCTCCAGTTATAGTAACTTGGAAGAGTAAGTCAGTTCAAGTAGCCTGAATTATAAACCTTTACTCTGTAAGTACTTTGCAAATGAGTTGATAATTGGTATAGCATTTGTTTATAGCAATATTTATGTACTTCTATGTGTACATGTGCATGAGGTTGACTTAGCTCTCTGGAATGCATGCTTTGGAATGTGCCATTTCCTTACAACAGATCAGTCCATCCTGTCTCCCCTCTGTTTCAAGGATACCGTAGCTGACTTTGGAAATATTCTAACATCAGTAGTCAAATGAGTGCAGCATGGTCTGATTTATTTGAAGATTTTCATTCTGTTTGAAAAGGGAGGACTTTTGTTTCTATGTAGTTTGTCATATAAATGAGTCATGATAGGAGTACTGAAAACAGTAATGAGATAACAAAAAATAATAGCACCTAATATGTATTGTCTCTTCATTAAGTACCATGTACCATTCATTCTGAGTGCTTAGCTCACAGCCCTAGAGGCAGTATTGGTATCCACATTGCCCAGGTGGGAAAACTGAGGAATAGACAGGCTGTGACCTCATTAAGCCAGCCTTTTTATTTAGTTCTGATTTAGATATGATGATGTAAACACTGATTTATTCTAAAATTTCCTCCCAGCAGTAAGCTACTACCCATGAATTACTATCAAGCAACTTAGCCCCAGATAAAAAAGTTGAAGCAGCACTTACTTTTTCATCATCTACCTCCCTCAGGTTAGAATTAAGGTATGCTGTTTAAATGCACCATAGCATTTTTATTACAAAGCATACCTACCATGTTCATTAATGAAACTCACCTATGGCATGAGTTACTTTTGAGGGCAGAGATGACTGGGAGAGGCAATGCAGTCCTCAATTTTGTTGAGATATAAGTTTTAAGTTAAGTGCAGAGTTAGGATAGTCTTGTATTTTAGAAGATTTCTTTAATTGACTTATGGCAGTATCTAGTGGCCTAAGTTTATCTTTAATTATAGGTTCATTTTTCAAGTAATTTGATTTGCATTGGAAAATTAAATGCTTCTATATCCTGTCAGTTTTATCACTAGAGTAATCCTGCTTTATCTTTAAGAGAATTATGGCATACTTGAAGTAGTTTTGCTATCTACAAATACATAGTCAACATTATTTCAAAATATTTCTCAGATATTTGAATGTTTTGATACACCAATAATGTTCAGATGGTAGTTTTATAACAGTTACTACAGGTTGGTAAGCAGTTTTTAATCATGACAAACATTCAA